CCCCAAAACCCCAAAACCCCAAAACCCCAAAACCCCTAGGCATTTTAAAATTATTGAATTAAATTCAAATTTATGAAGCAAGTTAGCTTTTATTTCCCTGATTCTGATGTAAGGAACTAAAAAATTTGAGATGCTTTCACACAGATGAAACAATAATCTATTAGCTTAAATTTTGACCCAAAAAGTTTATTATATATATTTATATAGATCCAACCAGAAAGGAAAAGAAGACCAGTCTCCAGTAACCCTCATTATGCAACCAAGAAGCTGATCGCAAATGAAGAGTACTTCAGAGCATTATCTTTGCATAAAAAAGGTAAGAAAACGCAAAAATCTCTGACCTAAACTTTTATAGCAAATCCACAAAAACCAAGAGCCCACTCATTAATAGAATCTCTTGAGAACCAAAACAATGACCCTAAAATATTATTTAAAATTGAAGACAAGGACATTTCTCTTCCCAGAAAAACGCTTTATCTAATCGACAAAATCATCAGACTCCGTTCCAAAAAGGGTAATCCCTCTCTCCAACCCCATAGGCACTCTATCCCTCCAAAGCATCTCCGATATCTTCCAAGAACTCCAGCATCGGAAGGGTAAGAAGCTGGATGACTACCAGCTACGTTTATACAACTACGAAACTCTCCAGCAGTCAGAGTCGAAGAAGCGGAGACCTGAACACTTCCAGAGAGGAATGAGCTATGAAGAGTGGATCCAGCATAAGAAGTTGGAGGAAGAGATTACCAGGATTATACAAGGTGGGTCTTTAGGCTAGGGGGTGAGGGGAGGGTGTGCTGAAGTGGTAGAGGGGTTGAGGAAGTTAGGGTTGTTAGGGAAGTTTGGAGGTGGGTTTTGGTGTCTTTGGTCGTTTTTAAGGGTTTTTTGGGATCGAAGATGAAGTAATAGACGAAGAAAAACGATTGCTAAGGGTCAAAATAGAACAAGGGAGACTAGAAGCTTCCAAAATCCAGCCCTTTGGCGAAGATGCTCACACTCAATGGCTCTTAAACAAACAACAAGAAGACGAGCAAGCCAGAATCCACAGGCGACAGGCCAGAATGACCAAGAAGCAGGAAGAAGAAGAGAAGAAGGAGGCTGCAGAGCAGGAGTACCAAGCCTGGCTCCAGAAAATAGTGGAAAAAGACAGACAAGTAAGTGATTTTAGATGAGATTTAAGGAAAGATTGATCCAAGCAGAAAGAAGAGCGAAGAAATAAACAAGAAGAAGAGGAGAAAAAGTATGAAAAGAAAGCTAATAAGGAGCAGATTAAACTAGCACTTAAGAAATGGGACGCCTGGCAGGATATGGTCAAAGCGCAGGAAGAGAGAAGAAAAACTAAGAAGCAGAATAAAATTCAGATGTTAGAGAAGGCTTTGAGGTATAAAAGGAAGAATGAAGATGAGATTCTTTGCTATCATAAGAATAAAGATAAGAAGAAAAGTAGAAGAATTAAGCCAGACCCAGGACCAAGGAAGACAATGATTTATCAGAACACTGAATTTTACAAGTATGAGGTACCTAATGATTCAACTTAAAACTTTCCTTTAGGGGTTTTGGGGTTTTGGGGTTTTGGGGTTTTGGGGTTTTGGGGTTT